ATTCTGACCTGCATTCAGAGCACATCAGCTAGTCTGAGAGTCAAACTGGTCACCTAATTTAAAATGTAATTAAAATATTGGCAGATAGGGCAACCTGAAAATTAATATTATTTTTCCCATTAACCATGATGAAGTGGTAAACGGCACTGAGAAACCATATCAATTTGAATTATTCTGATTCTGACAATGTGAACCGTGACCAGGGAGTAGGAGTGTGTTTGGGTTTGGTAGTATTAGTTTAATCTAAGCAGTTCACCCAAAAAAAATGACCCACACAAACAATCACAGAAGTGAGTACAAAATACTTCCAATGTGAATCAAACTTCTGTGACCTGCTGTGCGAATTTAATAAGCATCATCCTAATAACTGGCTGCACCCCCAGGTTGAATCATCGTAGGCATAAGAACAGGAGTAGGCCATTCAGCCCCTCTGGCCTGTTCAACCATTCAATGAGATCACGGCTGACCTGTGACCTAACTCCATATACTTGCCTTTGGCCTTTAATCCTGCGTTTAACAAAAAAAATTATCATTCTCGGATTTAAAATAAACAACAGATCATCAACTGCTGCATGTTTGAAGGCTTTAATTCAAAGATGCTCGAAGTATGAAACTAGTTCATCTAGGCAAACTGATCGAACTTAACGACTTATGAACGGATTTAAGTTACTAAGAAATAGACCATAAGGTATCCTGAAATTGTTCTGCAGATGCTTTTTCAGTCACGTTATTTCAATTGTTCCAGGTTGAATTTAATTAAGGAGCAATTTTGAAAGCAAAATTTCAAACACAGCACCCACAGTTCTTTTGGTTTTTGTTTTAGATTGCTGGCTGGTCGAGGAGTTTTGCCCTCGACAACATAGAGGTAGCACCTGGACAAGACAGAGAGGAAAGAGAAGCTCCTTGATGCAATTTTCACCTGAACTGTGACAACATCTAAATAGGAAGATGACCTCACAGTGTACACAGCATGAGATCTCCTCCAATGCTTCTTCAGAGCAGACTCAGTGTTTATGTACTAACCAGTCCTGTCCCTTTAAGAGCCCTACTCATGCCAACTGGTACCTGGTTATAAAACTGCAGATCTCAATTAGTACGGCAGTTAAACAACTTGCAATGTTCCAACTGTCTCTCCCTTTGGCATCTATAACATAATCTGACACTTTTGACAGGAACATCTGGCACAGAGGATCATTACAAGAGACTGTTTCCTCCAGTGAGAGAAAGGGGCATCACCTTAAAATTACAGTGAGCCATTCAAGGGGAAAATCACAAACAGCATTTTCACTCACCAAATCTGGTGGAAATCTAGAACTCACTTCCCCAAAACACTGAGAGTCAATTAGAGCTTTTAAGACTTTAGTCGAGTATGAGTATCAAAACAAAGGCAGATGAGACACAGTGGTTAGATTAAGGAGTGAGCAGGTGTGCAGGAGGGAGGTAGGGGGTGAGCTCACACGCATGAGGGAGTTAGGGAGTAAGCAGCATGCTGGAGGGAGTTAGGGGGTGAGCAGGCATGTAGGAGGGAGTTAGGGGATGAGCAGGAGTGCTGGAGGGAGTTAGGGGGTGAGCTGACATGCAGGAGGGAGTTAGGGAGTAAGCAGGAGAGTTGGAGAAGGTTAGGGGGTGAGCAGGAGTGCAGGAGTGAGTTAGGGGGTGAGCAGGAGTGCAGGAGGGAGTTAGGGAGTGAGCAGGAGTGCAGGAGGGTGTAAGAGAGTGAGCAGACATGCAGGAGGGAGTTAGGGGGTGAGCAGGAGTGCAGGAGGGAGTTAGGGGTGAGTAGGAGTACAGGAGGGTGTTAGGGAGTGAGCAGGAGTGCAGGAGGGAGTTAGGGTGTGGGCAGGCATGCAGGAGGGAGGTAGGGTGTGGGCAGGCATGCAGGAGGGAGTTAGGGGGTGGGCAGGCATGCAGGAGGGAGTTAGGGTGCGGGCAGGCATGCAGGAGGGAGTTAGGGTGTGGGCAGGCATGCAGGGGGGAGTAAAGGGGTGAGCAGATGTGCAGGAGGGAGTTAAGGGGTCAGCAAACATGAGAAATTCAATGATCAGAAGACACAAGCACAAAACTGAAAGAATGTGCAAACAAAGATTATTTAGAATTGGCAAGAAACTGAAGCTAAAATAGAATTCAGAAATCAGATAAATCCAGTCATTAAATCTAGGGAAACTGACATTTCTCTGAATGAACAGGAGCTTAATAACCAAGGCTAGAGGCACAGAAAAACATTGGTGGATGGGTCAATATCGAGTCTTTCTTCGTCTCAGTATTTCAGTCTTGCCAGGGTCAAGGTACCTACTCACAGTTAAGACTGTGTTGTTCTCGAAGCTGAAAGGATACAGAGGGATTCCAACTGAGTTACGCACAACAAAAATAGTCCTAAATTTTGCAAAGTTGCTATTTTATTGATCTAAGCAGTTCTTAGGCACATCAGTGTACACTTGAACTGTCAAACACTGTTTCAGTAGCAATTGATTTTTCTATTAGGTTTAATGCAGGTTACTCCTCCAAACATCTTGTCCTTCTGTCAAGACCGCATCTCCAGGTACTCGTTTTCTCCCCATTTATTTTATTGGACACAATTTGTCTTAAGTGCAATTTTTTGTAAAAATTTCAGTTTGTCGCAGTTTTTTTTTCTGAACATAATGTTCAACTCAGAACGACTCCTCAGTGAAAGTCAAGAGGTTTTGGGTAAGAAGGTTGCAATACTGAACTATAACTGCTGGATGCCATGCAGAGACCCAGTGCAATACAGACCACTGAGGAATTCAGGTATGGGTCATGGGTCATAGTCCTCATGGGGACAAGTCTCCTTTAAAGAGTCAACTGACTGAAAGGAACAAGCAGTAGAAAGTGGAGAGCTTGCAAGAATGAAACAAAATTTTGTTTCACTATTCCTAGCCATGGCTTCAACACAGAATATCAGGAAATCCCTTGAAGCACCTTATTCTTGTTATGGGTTTAGCCATGGGGATCAACAGCTTCCCAAGGATGCAAAGCTTCTTCTAAAATACTGCAGCTGTAGACATGGTTGTGCACCACAGAATATCATTTCCCAAAGAAGGAATACGCAACACAATGTATGAAGTATCAGCCAGTGTCAGAGTCAAATCCCAACAAAGGAGGCTAAGAGTTCAAGGAACATTTTGGTCCACGTACATAATTCCATCCATTGTAAATTCTCTGAAATATTCTGCCCATACTTTTGCATTCCCAAGAAAAATCTGCAAGCTCATGTTTAGAATGGTCATTTCCTTGAATTTTTTTTTCCCTCCAATTGTGAACATGTCACGGTGTAATTACATTCTCTCAGCACCCATGACGAGGTAACTTCCTCTCAAAGAGACTATAATTACAGGTTATGTTTATTGAGCTTCCAGTATCAACATAATCATAGGAATTTAAAAAGGAAAATTTTTAAGCTGTTCTACAAATTGTAGGGCTCCCACCAGGCAGAGCTTTGTGTCTTCTCAAAGTTACCCATTCTCAGAGTTATTCCCACAGCGTCACTGATGTGCTTTGAGAAATTTGCTTTATCCTGACATTGCATGTTAACATGATTTTTTTATTCATGCACAGGATGAGGGTATTGCTGACTTGGTCAGCATTTATTGCCCATCCCAGAGGGCAGTTAAGAGTCAACCACATTGCCGTGGGTCTGAAGTCACATGTTGGCTAGGCCAAGTAAGGATGGCAGTTTCCTTCCCTAAGGACATAAGTGAACCAAAAACTAGATTTTTCCAACAATCAATTCATGATCATCATTAGGCTCTTAATTCCAGGTTTTTATTGAATTCAAATTCCAACATCTGCCATAGTTTGATTTGAACCCATATTCGCAAAAACATTAAATAAAAACCAAAAGAACTGCGGATGCTGTAAATCAGGAACAAAAACAAAGTTGCTGAAAAAGCTCAGCCGGTCTGGCAGCACCTGTGGAGGAGAAAACAGAGTTAACATTTTGGGTCCTGTGACCCTTCCTCAGAACTCAGAGCTCTGAGGAAGGGTCACCGGACCCGAAACGTTAACTCTGTTTTCTCCTTCACAGGTGCTGCCAGACCTGCTGAGCTGTTCCAGCAACTTTGTTTTTGTTCCCAAAACATTACCTGGGTCTCTGGAGTAATAATCCAGTAATAATACCACCAGCTATCACCTCTCCCAGGTCCATGGACTATTAATGAAAGGAACTATTCAATGTATCATTTTACTTTAAAACTAAAAGCAGAGCAGTTATAGACAACTATTTCTCACATAATGGGCACTTTCTGTGCTGAAAGTTTGTGTGAAAAACTGTGTCCAATTTCAGGAGTTGAGTAGCAAGTGTAATGAATCATGTTTGAGGCGAAGCTGAAAGTAGCAAACCCCCCAGTACAAAAGATTTTGTTCCAACAGTGACCTCCCAGTGCCTTCCCCTCTAGTGTCTGAACGAACACACTTCAGGGTCAACCTCCTACCTTTGTCTGAGACAACAAGGTGCAGGGCTGGATGAACACAGCAGG